AAATCCTAAAATCATAAACATACTAGGAATTCTAAAATAAAAAACAAAACAGATTAGGAATCCTAATAATCTGTTACCAAAACAGATTAAGAAACATATTAGGAACCTGCTATCCAACAGAATCCTCTCAAATCCCTCTTTTTCTCGTGTTCTAATAACCCTAAAATCGTTTAGGTATATATAAGATCCCAGCCCAAAACAGTTTCCCAAACAGTTTAGGAAACTGGAAAAATGACTTTCGGTCGACTGGACCATGGGTGTCGGTCGACCGACCAGAACACATTCTTGTAATCAGCTTCTCGTGAACGTTTTTGGTCGACCGGACCATCACCTTCGGTCGACCGGATGACCACTCTCGGTTGACCGCCATCTTGATTCGGTCGACCGGCCAGAGTGAGTTCATGGGTTGTTTTCCTACAGTCGTTGTGGTCGACCGGAGTCACAATATCGGTCGACCGGCCCGAGAATTTCCAGACTCGTAGTTTGGTTTTAGGTTTCGGTCTTCACACTTCCAAAACCAACATTATGTACACATAGAAAGCCAGGAGAAAGCACAATCTTTTCACTTTTCATCATTATTCTTGCATAATTGTCTTTGGTGTTCGTCATTCACCTCACTCACTTACAATCTGTTATCTGTCTTAATCCAAAATTGTTGAAGACGAAGGAAGAGGATCTATACGACTTTGCGTTTGTTGACGCCGACAAGCCGAACTACGCCGAGTACCACGAGAGACTACTGAAGCTCGTCAGGGTCGGAGGAGCGATTGCCTACGACAATACTCTGTGGGGAGGGTCGGTGGCAAGGCCGGAGGAGGATTGTGGGCTGCCCCCGCAGGAGATGGTCGACAGGGTCGCCTTGATCGAGCTGAACAAGTCCTTGGCTGTCGATCCTCGCATCGAGATATCGCAGGTACCGATCGGCGACGGGTTCACCATCTGCAGGCGTCTGCATTGATCTCAGGAGATTGGTTTTGCGAATTAGTATATTGCTTGCTTTAAATGTTTAAGGTCGTTTTGTAACGAAGGACATCCACAGGTCACTATTAAGAATAAGTTCGCAATCCATATTAATTATGCATGTATGAGTACTTTGAATAGTGTTCGTCGCTGATCTGCTCTTGTATTTGAATAACACACTTAACAAAGCACATTATGATGCAGAAGTATGGTGATCATCACCTTCTTGTTTTCAATCTTTACATTTTGCATTTACTCTGTGAACAATTTAATTTTTACATTAAAAAAATGACAGTTGAAGTCCTTCGAAAATATCAAGTTTTGTTTGACAACTGAGTTCTATTAATTGGATATAGTTCGTGTCTTATATGTGGCTTGTAGTCTACATATTATTGATCCTATTTTGATTTCTCCTTCGGAATCAGCTAATATTGTACATTGGATATCATTTGTGATGGTTGACGCAACAACAACTAGGAGCAGGCACGTGCATCGGGCATGCCTTCCTTACTAGTTATATTATAAAAAAGAGTGTTTAGAGCAGCTTTCGTTTTCATCCGTCGTCTCTTACTTAGGAGTGAAATGACATTATTGCCCTTACTTCATGAAGTTGGATTTCTAGATATTTGTCCCTCGAATCTACAATAATTCCATATTAGTCCTGTAAATCTTTAAAAATTTACAATCATCAATCCTATATATAGAATGCATGGAGATTGACTTATTAAAAGAAGGTTAAAAAAGAGTTACCTATGTTTTCAATTACAATAAAATTAACATGGAAATAGATGCAGGATACACATAAAGAGAATGATCGAGGAAGAAGAGAGAAGGACAATAGGAGAGCTAAGAAACAATTGAAGATGAAATTTGAAGTTAAATTTGAGGTTAAATTTCGCTAAATCCCCCCCAATAAGTTATGGCGTCGGGCACTTAACCAGACAAAAACTTTGAAAAACTTACCAAACCACAATAATTTTGGGAATTTCAGAAATCCTCCCATGTGTTTTGATTATTTTCACTTAACCTCCAATGACTACTTTATGTGATATTCTCTGCTTAGGAGCTCAAAATACGTGTTGAGGTCATTAGGGGTTGGGGGGTCTAATTGCAAAAAATAAAAATATTTTGGGGGTTTTCTAAAATTTCAAAGTTCTTATAGGTTTAAATCATTGCCAGTAATTACTTCGGTGCAAAGAAACATACTGGAGAGGTATTTTAAATCATTGCCACTAATCAACAAATATTCAGAATTGTAAAGTAAGTCTGTAAATAATATATAATTGGAGGGTATATAGTTAAAAAATCCTTTGTTTTATGAACTTTTTAAAGATCTTCTTGCCTAACTTATATATCCAAATATTAGAGGCCAGAGGATCATCAATCCAATTGATATTCTCTCATCAATGGAGCAACCTCAACTCCCAAGCGAACTTTCTTCCGTACAAAAGAACCTCCTCCAAAGTGATGCCCTTCATGAGGTTAGTCTTCATTCATTCATTTTTCTTCTTTAATTTTCTGGTAATGATAATGCATTATTTGTTTTTCCCCCCCTCTTTCTCCTTTTTTTTTATTTTACAGTACATACTGAAGACAAGTGTGTACCCAAGAGAGCACAAACTACTCAAGGGATTGAGAGAGGAGAACAAGAAACACCCATGGCAAGGACTTTTCGGTTCCTTTTTTTTTTGGAGAGAACATTTTTCCTCGCTTAGTTGGACTATATATTAATTATATAAAATTAAAAAATGTTCTTGATTCATATCGAGTTTGCAGGTCTTTCATGAGCGTACCCCCTGAAGAGGGGCTTCTCATTTCTATGCTACTGAAGCTTATGAATGCAAAGAAAACAATAGAGATTGGGGTTTACACTGGGTATTCCCTCCTCACTACTGCTTTGGCTTTGCCAGAGGATGGAAAGGTGCAAAGTTTTCTTATTTTACCTTTTTCTAATTTATCTTTTTAAGAAGAAAAATAGATGGTTAAACCTGGAGATTGTAGCCATTTTTTAAGAAATTATTCTTTGTTCTCTATTTAAGCTGAAATATCTAACTTTCCCTAAATTGAGGATAAAATTTAGTTGTTGTTACATGATTCTTACGTGATATCTCAATTGAATGGAGAAATAGCATCATGCGTTTAGAGGGTGTAACTGCTTATAAAATAGTTTATGGAGTAGAAGTGGCTACATCTCATTTAATAGTTTGCAA